TTAATGATTTTACTCAATTGGTAGGGTCTGTCAGTATTAGTATCAGTTCAATAAATCTGATATTACCAATACTACCGCATCTAAAGTCCCAACTACTTCAGTGGTCGTAAAAGTCTATGTCTCAATATTGTAGAAATCAAGCAACATTAGATATCTCTTCAATTACCAGGAAATGGCGACGAGAGGTTTCACACAACTATCTTTAATAAGTACAGTAGACTGGCTAGATGCAAATAATTTGAAGATAAATTTAAATAAGACGAAATTTATCCAATTTAGACAACAGACTGCTAGTATAAATTTGAAAGTACATAACAACAATAATACTATAGAAGAAGTTGAAAGTACAAAGTTTTTAGGTTTGCAAATAGATCAACAGTTGAATTGGAAATCACAAGTGGATAGTTTATGTAAGAGAATAAGTAAGTCTGCATATGCATTACATAGATTATCAACTGTAGTCAACAGAAATGCACTTCTTACTGCCTACTATGGAACTGTAGAATCACATTTGAGGTATGGGATTATATTTTGGGGAAACTCTACTGAAAGAGAAACCGCTTTCAAAGCACAAAAAAAGTGCTTACGAGCGATGTTTAAGCTAAAATCTACAGATAGTTGTGAACCATACTTTAAAAATTACAAAATATTGACGTTGCCTAGTTTGTATATCCTGGAAGTAGCTGTGTTCGTGAAGACAAACCCTAGTCGTTTTAAATGCATGGCCGATGTATTTCCCCGCAACAGACGCGATAATAGTCTGCTATGTAAAGAGCCAGCTAAGACGGCACTTATGCGCAAGAGTGTCTACTGCATGGCTTCAGTTATTTATAATAGGATACCTAAGGGTTGGAAGGAGCTTCCGCTACATTTATTTAAAAAAAGATTCCGAAGCTTTTTAGTGGCTAAAGCATATTATAGTTTGCCTGAGTATCTGAATGAGAAGGATTTTTTTTTCTTCGTGTAAATAGGACAATTAATATGGCGGTATATGATTTTGTACATAATATAATTAAAAATATTGATCAACGTAACCCTGTATGTGGTGTATTTTGTGACATGACCCAGGCATTTGATTATGTTCACTACCCTACTCTTTTAAAAAAGCTCGAAGCCTACGGGATTAGAGGCAATGTCCTTAGTCTATTAAGTTCATACCTACAAAATAATAGAAAACAAATAACTCAAATCAATAAGATTAACATAGAAACTAAGCATGATGAGATGTATCGGTCTTCAGAGCGTAAAGTATTATTTGGGGTACCACAGGGTAGCGTACTAGGCCCTTTAATGTTCATTTTATATATAAATGATCTACCAAAATCTATTGACCAACCAATAACACTCTTTGCAGATGATAGTACGATTACAATTCCTTGTAAAAATATAGTTACGTACGAGAGAGATATTAACAATAGTTTAAAACAAACAGTAGACTGGCTAGATGCAAATAATTTGAAGATAAATTTAAATAAGACGAAATTTATCCAATTTAGACAACAGACTGCTAGTATAAATTTGAAAGTACATAACAACAATAATACTATAGAAGAAGTTGAAAGTACAAAGTTTTTAGGTTTGCAAATAGATCAACAGTTGAATTGGAAATCACAAGTGGATAGTTTATGTAAGAGAATAAGTAAGTCTGCATATGCTTTACATAGATTATCAACTATAGTCAACAGAAATGCACTTCTTACTGCCTACTATGGAACTGTAGAATCACATTTGAGGTATGGGATTATATTTTGGGGAAACTCTACTGAAAGAGAAACCGCTTTCAAAGCACAAAAAAAGTGCTTACGAGCGATGTTTAAGCTAAAATCTACAGATAGTTGTGAACCATACTTTAAAAATTACAAAATATTGACGTTGCCTAGTTTGTATATCCTGGAAGTAGCTGTGTTCGTGAAGACAAACCCTAGTCGTTTTAAATGCATGGCCGATGTATTTCCCCGCAACAGACGCGATAATAGTCTGCTATGTAAAGAGCCAGCTAAGACAGCACTTATGCGCAAGAGTGTCTACTGCATGGCTTCAGTTATTTATAATAGGATACCTAAGGGTTGGAAGGAGCTTCCGCTACATTTATTTAAAAAAAGATTCCGAAGCTTTTTAGTGGCTAAAGCATATTATAGTTTGCCTGAGTATCTGAATGAGAAGGATTTTTTTTTATAAGTGCTTGAATTGAAAACTGTGTTCCTAATTTATGGTCTTTTTTTTTGTTTATGTTTTTTCTTTTTATTGGGTTGTTTGCCCTCAATTGTAACATATTATCCAATGCATTTTACTATGTATATCATTTGCATGCTTAAATGGTAAAATATGGCTGAACATGTATTTTTATGTCACCTGTAATTGTTACCCATATTTGCAAAATAAAAGTATCTTTATCTTATCTTATCTTAAATATCTAAATAAACCTGTGCAGCGCTCTCTGCGTCTCCCCTTCTTCCTAATATAGCCATTGGCTCGCGATCTCCTTATCAATATTTATCGGTTGTCTCCGTGTCGGTAGTTACACTTGAATGTACCTATCCGACCGGTCCGCGACGCACCGCTGACATACATGCCGGTGTAAGGGACTGCCGGTAGATGTCCCTTCCGCAATTTCCGTTAGCTGGGCTGTGACTGTGACGGGTGGCTACTTGATGGTTGGGCTCAATTAACATTGCTTCGAACACTTCACAACATCGGTTTTTGTGAAACTAATGTTGTGATGATAAATTCACCAAGACCTTTCTCAAATCTTGCAGAATCTGCACAAATTCAACTAAGCGATAGGGAATTTGACTTGCAGATAGGTAATAATATTAAGTCCGCCTCATATAACTGTAAATAAACATACAAACAAACCAACTCTGTTACAACATTCAATATTTCATTCAACATTTAATATTGTTGACAAAAAAGACGAGCAAAACGAAATATAAATTGTAAGAATATACGAAAAAATGTCAGTGAACTAACAAGAATTACATAAATAGTCGATTACGCAACGATACAGTAATCATTAATAAGTAGAAATTACATTGAAATTCTTCTAAAAAGTAGCCAGTCATTAATTTAGAAGCTTTCGCCGTGATTGTGTAATGTGTGGACAAAAGATACGTAATCACGTTTCTCTTTCGGACTAAACTCTTGTATTTACGTGGAAGGGACAATGGATACTATGGGAATGTTTGTTTTAATAGTTTTTATTACACCCAGTTAGTGGCACCGTTTGGAATTATTTTTATATAATTCTATGTGTAATAGTCTGGGAAGTTTGAGTTTTAATGGCCTAGTTTATTTGTTTTGTGGTGCAAGAGGTTGCGGTGCGAATCTTGGATTTGTTCAAGTAGTTTTTATTTTAGCTTTTCCTTTGTCTCTGATTGACATCAATATTAATTCATTAACAACACCATTTAGACCGCGGCAATAAAAAATTTGCAAAGATACGTTACTTAAGAAATGCTTATCTATTAGCATATTTCTTAACTCCAGAGAAAATCGCATCTATAACAAAAACTGACAGTCTATAACAGAGCAATCAATAGCAATTGTGATCTTACAACCGGTAGCTAATTGTTGAACAAAGTGTAGTTCACACAGTTCATCTCTGTCGCATGCGTATGCGCATTAAAGAGACTTGAGACAAAACGGTGCATAAAAGGTGCAAAAACTATGAAACTACATACTTGAATAGGAACTCATGTTTAATTTATTGCGGGAAGTGATTTGTTAGAGGCAAAGCTGTTTTTTAACATTTGAAATGTTTTGTCGCGCAAATATTACGTCATCCCATTTCACCAGACTGTTTAAAAAAAAATACGCAGTGGTGGTTGTCTTTGTTTTGATTTATGATAAATTATTGTTTGGTATGAAATTAGATAAGGAATTTTGTTTATGTAGATAGGTAGTTCATTGAAATTTATATGTAGGTTAGATTATCTAGATTCAATGTGATTATGTGATACACATTTCAGCATAATTAGGACTGCGCAGTTTGTCTAGGTAGATGTAGTAGGATACACTTTTCTTTGCTTATTTATAAAGATCTTAATTTATGGCTTTTAACTACTCTAGTTTTTGTCTACACAGCCTTTCCTCAGTTTTTCTCTTCTATATACAAAGTTGCATCAAGTACATTTCTTTTCCATGCATGTTCCCATGCAGCCTCGCCACGTGCTTTCTATTCATTTCTAATTGCTCTGCAACCCGTCTGTTAAAGTGGTTGACAATGTACGCAATTTCCGTCACCAAGCGGTGATTAATACGCTGCCATTACAGACTAATCACACTATCATCCTGCTTTCAATTATTCCACGGTTTTGTAAGATGTACGTCTGGTTGAATTGAAATGTTACTAGTCTTAGTAATCGTATCTTTTATTTTTGTTGGAAGGTATTTTGGGGTGGTCAAAGAATTATTGAACTCCAAGTAGTTCTAGTCCAAAATAGACATCGTCGAATAGAATTAGATACGGAAACGTACCTACCCCGGATGTTTTCTATTTCGTCTTTAAGTATTTTTATCTTTCTGAGTTTCTGACAGTGATCGATCGTGGTGCTAACACCAAGCTAAAAGCGCCATGTTTAGAGATTTTCGAAGATGTTCTGTGTTATTTGCGTATTTTCCTTTTATTTAGGTTGGTTTTTATTAATCTATGCTTATGCAGGATTTAGAATATGAGTTGTAGAATTATAATAATGTGTTAAAAAGATGGACAGCAATGTATGTAGTTTGGTAACAAAAATATTCCTAATATTTCGGCAAGTGCCAAAGTTTTGCCGTTAACGCGTGTCAACTTACGTATGAAGACCGTATTTCTACAATTCCCAAAAACTTTACATAGAAATTCCCCTATGGAAAGTTTCACTTTAGGTCAAAACCTATCCAGGTTTCGGTAAAATTCTGATCTGTTAAATCGGCCCCAAAACTGGTTAAAGTCGCAAAAGCTTGAGAGACAGAGGTTTTTATGAATGTTTGATATTAATGTGTGTTTGTTTTGTCCTCAGAACTCAAGTGGTAGTGAACCGCGGTCGCGCAGTGCGACTCCCGACTCATTGGATTCTCTGCCGAGCGGTGGCTCCGGCAGCCCGCCCGCCGAGTGGGCCGACGCTGCTACGCCACCAGACTTTGTGTGAGTATCACCATCATCTACTACATCATTGTCTTCCCCTTTTATCTTCCTGATATCATCTGATTTATCCAAGACAGTTGTTCATGTCCTCCCTGGGATACGCGGGACTTATACCTATGTACTACTACATTTCTTCTATTTTTCTGACATGACTTATATGTTTATTTTATTGTTTGCGCCTGATTAATGTAATGTAATTGACGATTTGCTTCCTTTGTTTAGCGACAGCTTCCCGTCCGTGGGCACACACACCCCGCTCGCGCGCACGCCGTCGGCGCCGGCGGGCGGGCGCCGCGCGCGCCTGTCGCCGCCAGCCGAGCCGCACTCGCCGCCGCTGCCCATGCACGAACTCTTCAAACCAAACGACTTGCATTGGGCTGATATTGCGAGTAATACCGGTAAGCTATCCGCCAATTTTGTTTATGTCATTAAGAGTAACTCAGAAATATTTTAATAGTTTATTCGTGGTTAACTCATTATTACCTACTAGGTAATAATTAAAAGTGAGTGACATTTGAATTTATTTTCATGAAGTTTCTCTTTTATTTACAGAGGGCATCGAGCTCCTAGGTTACCAAAGATACGGCACAGTTCAGGGACCAAGGATAGGAAAAGAACGAATCAATGGATCTATACTCAAAGACAATGATCCATTCATGTGAGTACACATTGTTTTTTAAAGGCCTTGATTATTCAAAGTAACGATGACGACGACGAAGACCAGGAAGTAACCGAGTTGTTTCTCTTTAGCAGTAACAATAAGCACGCGGCCGTGTCTCGCGCTAAGAGTGCCGCGTCCGCTCAGCAGCCACTCAGCTTCGAACACAAGTTCAATCTCGACAGACAAATGCTCGACCATGAGGAGGTTCGTATTTATCAATACTCTTGAACATCAGCTTCAGATCTTAGTGAAATTTATTAAACACTTTTTTGCTAAATCTTTCCTGGATCGAGATCGAACATAATATTGAAACTCCCAACTAACAAGGATTCCTAGTGTCTTACTTTCTCCAAGATCCTAAATCCCCCATTTAACAAATTGTTGTCGGTTGTTTACCAGGAATGGCCTGAAGAGGATAGTACAGTGGATATTGAGAGCATCGGCGAGCCCCAGCTGAAGCGGCTACCGCCTCTACTGTGGCTGGAGCTGACCGCACTCTTCGACCGATACTCCCTGCCCTTCCAGAAAAGGAAATCGCCTAAGAAGAAGAGGAAAGAAGGTAAGAATCATTTCTCGTCGAAGAATATTTGCGAAGTCTTTCGATTTCGGCTTTTAATAAATTTCCTAATGTGTCGTTCATTTTCAGAGGGTTCAGTATTTGGCGTATCTCTGGAGACTCTGGTTCGCAAAGACATGATCTTGTGGGAGGAGACTTGGAGCTGTGCACCCAGTATTGTGCGAGCTCTCGCCGCAGCGCTAGTACAGCGCACTGCTGATGAGGGCCTGCTTAGGGTGCCAGGAAACAAGCAAAAGGTAAATATTTATTAGTGCAACATTGAGAGTTAGAACTCCTCAAAAACAAATTCAATCTATAAACTTTCTAAAACGCAACCCGTTGAAAATTGGGAACAGATTTTAATCTTTTATTTGTTGGAAACATTCAACAGCATTTTAAAGAATAGCCTTTATAAATCTTTACTTCCTTTCAGATCGAAGCGCTCTGCCAACTAATCGAGCGACAATGGTACTCCGACCGGTCCGCGGTGGAGGCTGCGTTGTCTCGCGCCAGCAGTCACGACCTGGGCGCTGTGTTCAAGCGATTGTTGCGCGCCCTGCCACAGCCACCTCTGACCCAGGAGCTCATGAGGCTGTTCTATCACACATACGGTGAGTTTTATAACAACACCTCTTAAGTACCTATGTACTGAATTCAACCATCAACGCATCGTCTTTATCAGTTGGAAGACGCAAAGAACTCTGTTTTGTTCTTTATTTGAAATGAAGTTAGTGAGCTCCGATTCTAATCGTTTGTTGTCTTTGGGTCAGCCCTGAGTGGCACGACCCAAGGGCGCGCCCTGAACCTGCTGGTGCTGCTGCTGCCGGCGGAGCAGCGCGCCACGCTGCGCGAGCTGCTGCGGCTGGTGCGCGAGATAGTGGCGCGCCAGGACATCAACAAGATGACCGAACACAACGTCGCCATGATCATCGCTCCCACGCTCTTCCCGCCGAGGTAATTTAGTAACTTACGTGTCGATTTTTACTAACGCTTTATACAGTTGTAAAGATTTTATAAATAATGGCAACTTTTACAAATCATTATAGAAAATATTTAGTGCCACAAGGTTTCACTTTAGGCCCATTATTTTTTGTACACAGAAACTGTTTTAGTACACAAGGATGTTGTCTAACAGTAGAACATTGTACTTCCAGTCTGCTGATCAAGCAGTCGGACAGCCTGGAGACGCAGCTGGCGACGGCGGCCAACAGCTGCCACGTGACGGAGGCGCTGATGCGCTGGTGCGAGCGGCTGTGGCGGCTGCCCGCCTCGCTGCTGGCCGCCGCGCAGCGCAAGCACGCGCCCCGCCGCCCACTCCACACCTGACTCGCGCCAGCGCGGCCGCGGGGCCCGGGGCCAGCTCCAACTGGCTTTCACATCAAGTGAACATTCATTTTGACCTTAGCATTCAAACTGTCAAGGTCAAAGTTGATCAGAACGCCAGTTCCAGAGTAAATCGTTTAAAAAGGACATTTTTAATTAGTGTAAGTGACCTCCAAACTCAAGGTCGATTGGATAGAAGAGCGCGCGATCCGATTCGATGGATGTCCATTGAATGGTGCTCACAATAAGTATTATATCGAATAAGAACAATTATTATATCCAATATTATTTTCAGTCAAATTGTGCTGTGTTTATAATTATTTTATTCTTGAACAATATTTTAGACGAGTGATAATTACTTTATGCTTACCTACAATAATTATACTCCAGTATGTTATTTCGTATAATAATGTGAATAAGATGCCAAATATTCAACCATTTTTCTTAATTATAGTGATATTATCATTGTTCCAACTGAGAGGCTGAGTCTAACTGTTGAGTCTTCAAAAATATTTGAGTGTAGTAGCCGGTCTTACAGAAATGACGAGTAAAATCTTAGTATAATAAATATATTGTGATTGTTCTCAGTAAAATTATTTACACTTACAACGTCGTAACATAAAGTTTATAACATTTTCGTGAGTGATGATTTTATTGAGAACAAACTAATTAATTTACTTTGAAAAAAAAGCTTGCAAAAGCTTGGTGCCATCAATGATTTGGATTCGAGGTTTTATATAAAAATTCTTGACATTTCGTATAATTTACAAGAATATTTAATTAATAACTAGAAACAATTAAATTTCGTTAAGATAATTGTAAATTGTCGATATTTGAAAATTTTATTTAGGTGTTGCCACATTAAATTAACCACACATATTTCAGTAATATGTATGTTACCTTTTTGGCAATAAAATATAAACGGTTGTAATAATGGTGCCTTGCGTTGATATTAAGATTGCACAATTATGTTAAAAACATTGTAAATACTATATACTTCGGTTTTTGTAATATATTTTACCGATACTAAGCATGCAAAGACTGACTTGGTGTATTATTATTATGTAATATTATTTTATAAGTGTATCTTCTTTTCAAAATCAATAAAAATGCATATTACTTATACTAATCTTTTATTATTTCAAATGTATCAAATAACTTAGTTACAGTTACCTAGCTCCTTACGTTTTACTTAAGTAACTAGCTTAACAGAATTAAAAAACCATTTCACTGACCAAAATTCATAATACAGTAACAAACTCGGTAGATATTCACTTGTTCTGATATTGTGGCTACAATAGATTAATTCTTCATGTATAAAACCAGTATCTTGGTTCCAACCTGTTATGGGTTCGTACTCCACATTCAAGAATTCAAATTCTAGTTAGGTAGCACATCATCATTCAAAACACAACTGTCCACAAGTTCATTAATTAATACTTAAAGTTCTTAATCAAATAAACAGCTTCATTATCAGCTCCACAAAGTATCCGGCCTTTGTCACAGTGAAGGCTGTTGATAGATTTATGTAGGGCCGGTATCAAGGAGTTCACCATCATTGACTTCTTATCTTGTAGTGGCATCCACATCACCTGGCCATCAGGGCCTTTGGAACTCTTTGTCATGGCTTCCATGTTCCACTCCCATAATTCTCCGGATACAGAACATGTAAGGAGCTTGTGAGGATTTTCTGGATGGAACTGCATTTCTGATACTCCTGCGGAATGAGCGTTCACTAAAGACGTAGGAAAGGAGTTCATTCGCAAGTCCCAGACTGCGAGGGCTCCTGATTCACTCCCTGCGAGGATAATATGTGGTTGTGTCGGATGATGGATGATACAAGTGGCGGCTAACTCATCCCCTGCAAGTAAGAATGCAGCTGATGGCTTGTTGTTTGTAGATCTTACATCCCATATCTTCATATGTCCTCTCACATTACCAGTTATAACCTAGAATAGAATTACATTTTTTTTATTGACAATAATAAATAATTATGAAATAATAGTCAGTGGTACAAACATGTACCTGTAACTTACTTCAGTGTGTTTGATAAAACAGATGGAATGTAGGGAGCAGCTGTCAGCTCCCTTGATGGAATGCATCACCTCTCCCCGCCTGCCACTCAGTATGTTTACATTGCCATCCTCACCAATGGTAGCAATGTCACCTTCCAGGGTGTCCAGTGATGTGCAGGAACATTGTTCTGCACTACAAGCCAAGTTTCATAATAAAAATATAGGTACTTAAAATACCTTGCTGGATCATTTAGGTAATATACTAAAGAATATGTGCTTTCATAAAACAGCTAACTTAAGACTACTTTAGGTACCATCTTTCAAATTCTTGCAAGATTTTTTTATAAAATGTACAGAATTAACAGAAAAGAATTGTTGTTCTCATGACCTGAACATTTAGTACCTACACAATCTAAGGTTGACTAATTAGTTAGTATGATAAGCCAGTATTTGAAGACTAGGAGTTGCAACAATTTTATAAAACATGTTCCCAGTTGCATGATCAAGGTTAATGTTTAACTAAAGAACTACTGAGCCACTTGTTTATATTGATTTCGGTCAGAGTGTAGCAAAGGGTGTGCAAGGGATTTGGGACTTATTTCTTACCCGTAGCTGTGTAACTTCTTCCAGTGGAATACTTCTTTAAGTGGAAACTGTTTGTCGTACAAACTTACTTCCAGCACTTTCACGTCGCCATTTGATAAGGAAACTGCGATTTTGTTCTTTTCTGTAAACTTGATTTGTGTAACATCGCCGTCTACAAGGTACTCGGACAACTGGCGAGGGTATTCCACCTCCTCCTCTTCATGAGGACTTTCTAACGTCCAAACTTTAATAGAATTTTGATCGTCATCCCAACTACCGGTAAAAAAACACTTTGTTTCCACATAGTCTTCAGCTATCCATCTTATTTTACTAATTTTCTGTGATACGAATGTTCCTTGGACTTCGAGCGGCATAATTAAATGGGTGCTTACAAGAGATCTTAAAAAAATACGAAAAATTGCCGCTAAGCACCAACTCCTAAAATAATATTTTTGACGTTAAAAGTAAGGTTATAAAATTACGGTTCTATACAAGCAATACAAGCATGTTATGTTTTTAGTAGAATCTCATCAAATGTATATTATTTTTGAAAAAAAGTGCATCATGTATTTAAATTAGTTATTGTTAATTAATAAGTTTTAAAATAAATTCAAAGAAAACAGAAACAGGAAGGCAACTGTTACAAAATTATTTGTACTAGTTTAAACTTTACATACGTATATTGGAGCGAAAATATAACGTTCGGAAATATTTAATGATTTATTGCCGTTTGCTAATGGCTTCATTAGAAACTTTTTAATTGATTCTGTTATAATCTATTACATATTTACAAAAAAACATTTATTAAGGTTTTTTTTTGTATTCACCGTTGCCGTTGTATGCCCGTTGTATATGTGGCTGATATGATGATGATAATGATGATATGCCCGTTACCGTTAATTGCTGCAGCAATAACTTCATTTATTGCACGACGTCCAACAAAGAAGAGTGTTACCGAACGTCAAAAAATCACAATGTTTTAATGTTTTGGAGATAATGTCAAGCCAATGTCATCATGTCATTGTTTGTTATCCGGTGTCCGGCAATCACAAAAGTTTGTTTGATAAAACCAAAGATTTTGTTTTAAGGTTCTACTATATTTAATAATTTATCTGAGATTCAACTCATTACCCATTTTTCTAATAATAATATGGTTCGTGAAGGAGTACTGTCACCGGCGGAATCCGGAGAGTTTATTGCTAAAAATGCACAACATGTTCAGATTCACGAATCGGGACTTGAGAAACTTTGTGAAGAGGTAAGATAAAGATTACTTCGTGTTACTATGGTTAAAGTTTATCATCTCTGCCGCTTGTAATATGATGAAATAAGTTGCAATGCATACCACTGACTATTAACAGGTACAATACTAAAACAAACAATGTAAACATAGATTTCTCAGAAAAATGATGTCCGCTCCTAAGGATATTCCTGAATACTCACTTAAAGAATATTATGCAATAATTACAATTTAAATTGTATTTTTACTGATCCTACAGATGCAGATAAGAGTAATATGTATCCTTATCCTTACTAATATTATAAATCAGAAAGTGAGTTTGTTTGTTTGTTCCGCTTTCACGCCATAACTACTAAACCGATTGCTTTGAATTTTTGCAGACGTATAGTTAGAAGTCCGGATTAAATAATACGTTTTTAAATAGTAGGTACTTTTTATCCTGGAAAAAATTCATATTCCCAAGGGAAAACAAAAGTAATGGTATAGATGGCGCTGTGTGTATTGGTATATGTGACATTGGCTTTTTATCCTTTTCTGACACGAGCGTAGCCGCGGGTAAAAGCTAGTATTTATATATTTTTCCAGATGTTACCATCAATAACAAACAAGTTGGAGATCCCAGACACAGGTGCAGATATCATCCATCCTGACAAGGATCATGAGAAAGCTGCAGACTGGGTGTTTGTGGCTGATGCCCTCAACTTCTGCTTCTGGTCATACTCCGGTGCTCAGAAGTGGACTGTTGATGGACATTCTGGGTACTATGCTCTTGAAGCTGCACTTGCTAGAGCTATAAAGGTACTTTCTAGAAAGTAAAGTATGTTAAAAAGATTTCAAAGCTTTCGTAGATAGTTTACTTTATCTCTTAAATGTATAAGCAGTAAGTAACTCCAGCTAATACATTAATAAATGGTATCTTTGCCAGAAAACTCAACTATCATTATTCTCCAATTACAATGTTAGTCTTATTAGAAAGTCTAAAACATGAGCTGTTTTCTTATAAGATGTTACAAAATTACTAGGATCAAAAATAAATATCTTCATATTTCAGAATGGAATCGACATAACAAACCCCAAATATTACTCGAAGATAACTGAAGATGAACTGCGGTCTGTCATGAAAGGTGACAATGAAGCCACCATACCATTGTTTGAACAAAGAGTATCAGTACTTCACGAAGTGGGATCTATCCTACTAGAGAAGTACAACGGTACCTTTGAGACATGCATGCAAGAAGCGAACAAATCTGCTGTCAAACTACTAGAGATTATTGTGAATAATTTCCCATGTTTCCGAGATGAAGCTACATTCAAAGGACAGAAAGTGGCTTTATACAAACGGGCTCAGATCTTAGTAGCAGATTTGTGGAACTTCTTCGGAGGTACAGGGTGGGGAGAGTTCAAAGACATTGACAAGATGACAATGTTTGCGGATTACAGAGTGCCGCAGGTGCTCCTTTACTTTGGTGCACTCAGTTACAGTGCTGAACTGATGGAGAAGTTGAAAAAAGGTTAGTATCTAGTTTTTTATGTCACCATTTTTATTTCTGCTATTGTTCATTCAATATCTAGACTTTTTAAATGTGACATTAAATTGTGCTAAATACACCGTTAAATTTGAATCGTTTTAATCCCTTGGAGGTTCGAACTGGTCCACGAAACACTATCGATTTGTAAAGATAAAATTAAAAAATAAAGTACTTTTTTTTAATAACTCGAATCAATTCTCGCATGAGTGAATAAATAATGCGAACCGTTAGTAGGCAGCATTCCTATCAGTAACAACCTAACAACATTGACGCGGTCGCTGGTCAACGTGAACTCGCAAACATCAGTTGATCGAGTCAATAGCCGCCGTGTAGGTACCTACACTGCCCGACCGCCGACGATACGCAACGACCGACGACGACGTAGGTAACTATCTCGTGGCGCAACTTTTGGTTTCATAAATTTTGCGAGTATAATCTTATCATTTGCTAATTTATTTATTTTTTATGTTACACCGCAGTACAAGCTTGTAATGAGTAGTATTCTGTTAGTTAAACCACAGGTCCATGGGATTAAAACGACTAAAATTTAACGGTGTATACATTGAAATCATACAATCCACGATCATAAACAGTAATTTCCGAAAACACTAAAACCACACATATTGTCATGTGTGGTTTTCCAAATGCACTATTCTCACCTAGAGAATAAAGTTTGACTTTGCGACCAACATTCATCGCTTTGTGTTACACTCGACGTATCTCCGAAATCATTTAATCGCCACCAGTAATTGGAGTTATAGCCAAAATATTCATAGCACGTTATCAGAGGGCTCTCCAAACTGATAGATCATTATCATCTGTACTTTCCATCTCTTCACATTTGATAGATTAGATTGTCCTGATGTTGTTGTGGTGACTAATCGGGGATCGAATGTAGTTCCTAGAAGTAGCTGTCTGGAGTGATATTACATTGAGTCTAATATTAAGGTGGACTTAGGACCTAATTTCTTTTTTTAAAATTGGCGCCATGTTGGATACTCCCATTTAAAAGAGATATTTCGGTTTGTGCAACTAAAAAATAGCTACTGAACTCTTGCACTAGTAGCATGGTGGTTGAATTTAAATCTAAAGCTGAAGATATTTTTTATTTCTGCTTAATTAGATTCCAGATCAAACTCCACCTAAAACTTCGACACTAATTAATTCAATTTAAAATTACAGATATTCTTCTTCCAAGCGGTTCAGAAGAAGAAGTAGAAATCCGAGGTTGCTCCATCCATGCTGTGGAGCTTCTCAAGAAGAGAATAGAAGAGAAGCTAGAAGGTCGCAGTGTTGAGGTGCCTAACTCCAGTCTGATAGACTATTATTTATGGTGCTATAGGAGGAAGTATGCTGATGCCATGGAAACCATACCCTTCCACAAGACCCTGGGCATCTACTACTGATGGTACCTAACATTAAGTATTATAAAATAGGTATAAGTTTATACATAGTGAATTGAAAATAATGGTGCTGGTTAGTCCAAATGTAATTTAATAGTATTCAAGTTGAGGTATCTTTATACTAGTCGGTTTATTGTTTATAATTTTATTATTAAGTTTAGATGTTAAGAAATAACGATGGCGAACTAGTAGGTGACCTGTCTTACGTTGGGTGGCTGTATAAAGATATTATCGATTTTCTGACTCATTCATTGATGGCTAAAGTTGGTATCTAGTTTAAATCGCCAGTTACAAATTTCGTATTTCGTAATTCTCGTGAAATATGACAAACATTATGACTGTAAACACATCAATATTTTTATATCGTGTAATAAAATGTATTGCTATTATATTGTATGTATTATATCAGATAGCACATTCATATCAATCTAACAACCGCGCCTTTTCTAATAATTGATAAACAAATACCAATAATCATTATTTTTCACCATTTACATGAATAGTTGGGAAATTTCATTATAATTGGTGTACCAGTTTGTTGGTACAAGGCTCACAAACATAATAATATAGTTTCACATTTTCCTAAACGTTGAGGTACTTTATCTTTGCATAGACCTTCATAGCTCTTCATATCCAATCACTGCCAACCGCCTTTTGGGTATCGCCACTCCACCTAATTGTTACCCCTAAACCAGCCCGTAGGGTCACTTAGCGTTAAGCTCTCCTCTTACCTAAATTAATTTGTGTAGTATACATTATTTTACGTATGTATATGTTTGTATAGTCGTAATAAAATGAATATAAATAAAACAAGCCAACATTTACGTTAAATGTTTTATTCTATGCCACCCTTATCCATCTTACGATGATATAAATATTTCGCGACGCGTGAGTTACCGTCAAACGTCTATCACATTCAATGTCCGCCTAGTAAACTTATTGCACTACTTACATTTATACAATAGTACACAACCTATGTATACACAGTACATACATATACCCAGTTATATTATTTATTTACAACTTTGGCATTAGCTAAGCTCAATGTTATGTTGCTGAAGAAATGTGCTTATATGGTTTATCAATATACATTTTCCACTAGTTATGGTAGAGGTCGAGAGCGCCCATTTAATTAGTTTACAATGGCGAGTTTAGTTTAAGATCTATCAGAGCAGAATACAGCTCCATTTCTAAACTAATTGAAATAGAACAGTAATTGGTATTTAATTGAAAAATAAGACTTATATTGTCAAAATAAATAAATCGCTGCAACAATAATGCCCACTTAACAATTTTCAGGGAAAAAATATGTAATCCACAAACACATTTCTCCCGCAATATTCCATCGATTTCTAATTAACTTAAATAAATGGGAAATAATGATTACAAAATGGCACTTAATATTTACACCGTAACCTACCATTTATTAAATAACGTGACCGCTACTAGGTATTATGCTCTACTCTACTGTATAACTACAAGGAAGTCTGCCCTCGGTTAGTTTTTTAACTACATTACTTGTTTGGTACGACACAAACAAATTGTAGTTAAACTACTGCGATAGACAGCACGCAATGAACTGAAAATCATGCTAATATCTCTCACGCTACGTTGTATACGGTATCTAAGAGATTGTTGATTCTACGATTAGTGAACCTTTGTTACACTGAAAAGCGACAGCAGAGTGCAACCTCGGTCACATTGGAACATAATCCCCGCGAGTACATTACGTAACATACATTTACAATTACATACATTTGTTCAGAACAACGTCTACATTCAATTCTTAATTTAATTTGTGTTTATGGCATCGCTTTTCAATCTATCAAACGCTTCACTTATTACTAAATTTTGACTTGAGACTTTCGAAGAAGGCGAGTTTTGTTTTAATGGTGCCTGGTTCTGGCACGGGGCTGCCGGGCCTGCTAGATTCTTTAGTGACCTCTTCAATACCTTCGGGGATCTCCTTGGAGCCCCCCGGCACGGTGAGTGGCGTGGACATGGAGAGTTTCAGTTCCTCCCTGAACTCTTTGGAGATGCTCCTCGCTGTGAGGCTGTGCATGTATAGCTGCTTGGTCTTCTCTGGTTTGCTTTCTGACAGGATGTTCTCCTTGCTCTTCCGCCGCACCGAGTAAGGTTGCACTGGCTGGAAAACAAATGACGAAGTCTTTATTATTTTAGTTAGCTTATTATATTTAGTTAGAACGTTAGCTGTATTTTCGTATACCTATCAGCCATTGATCGTATCTTTACGTAAGTAGCCTTTGATATTTTGAACGACGTAATCTAACATTGATATACAATTCAGATTAAAGTGATATTCAACTAAACTGGTTTATGTAAATCGAAATTTTCTCGTCATTTGCTTTATAGAAAATGTAAAATTTGTATCTGCTACTTATTTGTGAATGTATTTATAAGAACATTCGCCAGGTATTATTACTAAGAATTTTGTAATAATAATTAATCAACGGATTTGGAACTTAATAACATAAGTAGATAAACGTTTGTTTTCAGAAAAAAAATGACGTCGACTGCGCGAAATATAAAACATTATCGATATTTACCTTGACTGGCTCTGCGATGTTCTCCATACTAACAAATATCTTCGCCAGCTCCTTCACTTTGGGCAGGTTCTGCAGGATGTCATCCGACTCAATCAGCTCTAGTTTGGAGAGTTTATTGTCTTGGACAGGAGTGTCTTCGGGCACGTCATCCGTATAACTAACAGTATCAGGTTCCGAGATGTTGTTATCAGCGCTATCGATGTTGTCGTCGGTGCCAGCCTCATCGCTCGGCGATACGTTATCAGGCTTACATTTAATAATCTCTCCTGTTTGCACGTTGTAGATTTTGATGGAATCCTCCATGCTGCTCGTGCTCATGTAAGACGTGTCCACGCTCAGCGGTTGCAGAGGTCCGTCGTCTGTGTCGGGGGGCGGCGCGGGGGCGCGGGCCGCGGGCTCTGTCGGCACTTTGGAAGCTGTTTCTATGATTTCTTCGAACTGTCTGTCTGTGTCGTCCTCGATGTAGACGGGTTTAGCGGCGAATAGCGTGTGTTCGCTGGCGTCGTCGTCATACTCGATCATAATTTCATCCTTGTTGTTACTGGTCGTGGTCACCGACGCCATGTCCTCGTTGTTAGCGAACTTTGTATAGTGTTGGTTCGTCGCTATCGTGTGGAATTGTTTTATAAGTAATCCCTGAAAACGTTATTGGCGTTATCATTGTGTAATCAGTTTCATCTAAAATTAAAGTTTGTTTATGATTTAAACATTTACAGCTAAGTCCCCATTGTTTGATTTTGTACAAAATAAGATAACTAATAGTAACTACGGAAAGTGCAGTAGGTGTTAAAGTTAGTATGTTATAATATTATATTATTGGGGTTAATATTGTTACCAGCAGTGCCTTGTAAGCATTAAAACGTGCAGCGCTGTAAGTTCCACTGAGAACAAGAGTAGTGTAGTTTAGTATATTGACACAACTGGAAATATATTCAGAAATATTAATTGACGAGTGGCAACGGATGGAATGAACGTGTGTGAAGTGTTGGCGAATGAGTTAGTAGTCGAAGGATGCGAGTAGTATTGCTAGATATTCGTTAGGTGGCAAGCAGTCGGATGCAGTTAGTCAAAACTTTGTTTGCCAAAATCTTACACTCACCACTAACGTCTTTGAGGATTACTGTAGTACTGAAATTTGATTAAGAAGAACACAAAATCTATGAGTGCAGTACTAAGTAGAAACGTTTGTATTAATAGTGCACAGTGCTGTTAGTCAGCCGTATATATCCAACAAGTAACATGCCAACTTTACACACAACAGGCTATATACTGTGTGTCAAACGAAGATATTTTAGATTCATGATCGATTTAGTAATGAGATAGTTCTGTCACCATATTTATGGAAGTGACGTGATGTCAGTAACTTATGGTACTATAGGATGAGCTCGGCTCGACCGGAGGCCATTTTGTATCGTACACAGTTAGAGATTGACATGTTGAGACAACGGTCAGTGGGAGTGCCATTGAGAGCGAAGAAGGTGTATTAGACTATGAGAGGTCGGAACTAGAGGGCTAGAGGGTGCTCTGTCACCAGATATCGGTACGAAAGCCTTTGCTTAACCTGAGACTGCCACCGAATGTAAAATTGAGAGCCGGGCGGCGCTTGGCGCGGACGCAGAGGTCCTCGCTGCGCAGCGTGTTGCTCCGCCTAACATGGGTGTACGTCTCGAAAAGGTCTTCGGTAATCTCGGGTATTTTCGGTATTTTAAGTCTAACTATATCCTCGTTTTCCACATAACCGTCACCGTCGCACACAGTTCTACATTGTTGTCTTACGTTGGCATTTCGAGCGACATAACGTTCGTCTGTCGCATGATTCTCGTCAGCGTTATCATTGTGTCTATCGGGGTTTTCGAAAATGGGGTTTATAGCGAAGTTGGGGCTCGCATTCCTAGGGCTGAGGACGTTGCGGACGATGTTGTGATGGAGGGCGGACGCCTCGAGGTCGCTCAACGAGCTGCTGGCACTTACAGGCGACGCGAACTCTGCGTCGAAATTGTCTAAACTGGTCGACTTATTCATTGACGCCGAGGACACCGTGCTCGCCTCGTCCACGGACGTCTTTTTGCGACCGCCGCACGACGCCTTGGCCTCTCTTATATAATAATCACGCCCGTAACTGGAAAGAACAATTGATCAATCACTCGGTCACAATACACTACTTTCTACTCTTCGTTAATTTCCCAAGGTTCCCTCTTACCGTTTATATTGTGGAATTTCCTCAGCCATGACATCTTTCAATATCCTAGGCGACGGGCTTTTAGTAGTTCTACCGATACTATTAATACTATCATTACTCATTGTTAGACTTAATTTATTGTGTTGCTCATCTTTAACTGGAAGATCATGTATTTCGATTTCTCCTTCATCTGCGTCATTATCGTTTATTTCCATTTTGTCATCATCTGCTTCCTTCTTAGCTGTGAACATGTCGAACAGGGATGATGTGTTCTTGGCTGATAGTCGTTTCTGAATGGCTTCTGGTGAGTAAGGGTTGTTTGGCATCTCTACATAGTTCAGCCATTTCTTACGCTCTCTGTAAGCTATTGAACCTGTAATCGTTTTCATTATATTAGTGAAAATAACATCTATCACAATTTTATATTTATTTAGACTATTTCTTTCCTATAATATTGTGAATTAAATCTTTAGGTATTTGCAGTATTTTTCCTAATTAATATTAGGTATCCGTAGTAGGTATAATATTATCTATGCTTATCTCGTATATTAATTAGTTTTTATAAGTCGTGGGAGTCCTTCCTGTTGATTGTAAACTTTTGACTGTGTTTGTATAAGTCACGTACCTGGTATCAAGTCATCTTGATCTGTATCACGAGTGGGAATCCTGAAACAAAATGAATCAATTTAGTAAAAACACTACGAAGGACATAAAAGAAATATGAAATAAAAAAAAATACTTTTAATTTTAAAAGTATTTTTTTTATTTTAAAATTGGTCTACTAATTTACAATTTTCGGTTTATAATTTTCCCTAAAACGGTACTGTATTTGTCTTCGCAACTGTTGTCAAGGCACAGTTGTTGTATCGGCTAGATGACTAAGTTTAGGCAAGATTTTTCCAAAATCGACTTACTCCTGGGGTCCGTCATCGAAGTGCTTCCTGCGCAGACTGTCCGCGTACCGCTGCACGGGCACCGTCACCGTCTCCTCGTACTCTCCCTCGCGCTCGTGCTGACTCAGAGTATTCGATGATTCTGGAACGTTTCATACCTCTCATAAATTATTCCAATTACTGGCTATGATTATACTTTATCTTTATAAGCACATTAAGTAATCGATTATAATCAAAGTTCTATTAATGCTCACTGATTAAACTTGGCGCATTTTGGTGTTTTGTGTTTATTACTTTCCTATTATCGGTTATATTTGAATAGTTAATCGCTTGATTTATAGCTATATTTCACTCACCTTTGTTGTTAGTGAAGCTGTCGACGTTGTTTACTTCTACATGTCCATTGTGTAATATATCACCATTCGTTTTAACACTCAAGTCATTCATAAATTCTTCCGTATTCCCATTCAGTAGTGTTCTGTGGATTTCTTCATTTACTGCAAATTCTGCTTTTGTTAATGGTCCACTGTCGATAGAAATCAATAACTTGCCACCATCGGCTTGATCTACTGTGCTTACGTTACTTGTCTCCACAATAGTAACTTTGTTATCATTGATTTCGTTAATGATTGCGTCTACTGCTTCATCATCATCTATTTTCTCAACAAGTTTGTCAAAGTCTTCATCAACTCCATCGATAATGGTGAGACTGTCTGGTTCAAAGTCACATTCTTCAACTTTAGGTTTACCTCCTATAACGTGTTTAGAGTCCAGAACTTTCTTCATGTCACTCTTGTATTCTGCTTGTTCTTCAGAGTCACTCGCATTGTCCGATAGATCTGTAGTGTCGTCAGCGTCTCTATCACCGATCAGCGCTCTGTACTCTGTGTTGGAGTTAGGGACCAGCATAGGCACGGGCACCGACTGTATGGTCTTGATTTTCTTTTTCTGGAAGAGCCAGTTCTCTTCCCAGGTGCCGTCGACTGCCTGCAGGTCGCTACTGGAAACTTCGTCGAACTCTCGGTCCTCATTATCTGCAACGTAGGCGGAAACATCGGTTATATTAAGTCCTTTCTGGAATTATTTTTTTGCATAACTACGTGTAAGCTGATTAAAAAGGTTATCTAGAATGAGGTTATTAACATCGTCCCGTTACCTTTCTATCAGCTGATTATGTTTGATAAGTAAGCCTGTTAAGTCTGATTGTAGGTTTAATATTTGCCAGACAACCTTTAAGCCGGAGGTTTTGTGAATTTATTGAAAGCTTTGGAAACCGAACAAAGTACCTATATAATTACCTAAACTGTAATTTCGGTTCGGTTTGGACGTTGTAAAGGGTTATTTCAGGTCACGGCGGAATAGATTTATTTACCTGTGTTATGCACTATGTCTCCTCCGAACTCAGGGAAGGGTACGCGCCGCGGCACCTCTAAGGCTTCATCGGTGGCATCCCCCTCCTCCCAGTCAGACACGTCGTCTTCTTCATGGAGCTGAAATTATGTAATAACATACTTTTAAGTATGTACACATTGCTTTACAACTTATACATTAGCTATTTAATGAGGATATTTTGTGAGAATCTTGAAGACATCGTACGTATTTTTTGCTGTTTGTGATTGTGCTAGTGATGTGTACGTTACATGTAATGTTACTTACTGGAGGTGTGATGTTTGTGTTGTGTCGGGAGTGTGAGTGCAGAGAGCGGGGAGAGGACCGCTCGGAGGGCGTGGGGCTCGCACTCGCCGAATGGATGCCACTGCTGCGGCCACCGGAACCATTCTCGTTCTGGTACCGCTCTATCACCTGGGAACAAACAATCATTGTTGTTACTCTACGTCACTACATTACTGTTATCATCAGTGTTTTTGTGCACTGGTCTATTCTACAGCACGTCACTTCAGCTCTGCATCTTCTTTTACTTCGGTGACAGTTTTTTTTTATTATGTATCCTTACAGAGTCAGGGTCCGATATCCTTACAGAGTCAAATTGGTCTAATTTTTTAAAAAGTAGTAGTTAATAAGACATTTAAGAAAATCTTTCGCACACATCTCATCGCCTAGTTATTATCGGATTGAAATGTCGCCGTTACACGTTTCACCACGAATATTATTTAGGCTTTCGTAAGTAGCATGCGGGAGAAATTGAATGAACAAACTGGAACAATGCAACACTTGTATGATCCAGATAGGAAATGTCTAATACTAAATCACTTGGATGGATGTACAGGCGATGATATGCTCGGGGAATTTGAGCAGCAGTCGGCCGTATCTGAGCCACTGGACCAGCGTGAACGCATGAATTCATAACAACTGACAAACGCATGAAAAACTTCGAACCTCGCTGTTCGCTTCGGGAAAGTAGCTCACAATGGAACTGAAGAAATTGTACATTTTCACCAGTTGTCACACGAATTACAACTCTATCTCGTCGTGGTAAGAGCTCTGGGAGAGATGGTACGTTTTCTAAAAAAAGGTCTGGTTCACACGAGCGTCAGTTCACACTGCGCTGGAGAGAAGCGCGTCGGGTCAACTGAATGGCATCGCGTAGGGTTGTCCATTTGCTGCACTAACATAATAAATTGTTTTATAAATTATTTTCTCTATATAGGTCTCCTTGTTGCACAGTTCTTGTAGTTTGTTGTGAAATGTTTATTCTAATTAATAAATTATTTAGGATGTAAACGACATTGAAATGAACATTATTAAAAATATTTCTTTTTGTTCGTTTACCACTAATATATTTACAAAAAACTTTCGCGATGTCTTTGTTTACATAACAATCAAATAACACTTTGAAGACGCCGAAACTAATTAAACATTTCCGTGTCGGTATCACATAATCACCATTGTGTATAAATATAAATAATCGAACAATTTTCTATAATCACGCAAACAAATCCGAGCCAACAATTTACGTAACTCACCAGGCTTATGGCCGCTACAATGTATAAGAACACTACGAAAGACACTAGATAAAAAGTGTACATTTTAAAATGTACATTTCACTTCACGACACTTGAGCGACTGCACGGATCAATTGTCCATCGTGGACAGGTGATTAGCACTAAGTGTACACGAATTACACTTATTAATCTCATTATTTATGTATGATGACTTACCATTTCTTTGTAAAACATTGGATTGGTTAGGTACCGAACTATCTTTGTACTGGCTGTAGCGATACAGCCTGCTATCGACAGATAACTTATTGATAACTTATCTAGCAAGCTGTCCGTGTGATGGATAGTATACACGAGCTAGATCCTTGTTTTAAATAGGTTGGAAATTAGTGCTTCCAGTAGTTGCTGATCGAACTGGATACTTCGATTAACTGTGGTAGATAAATATCGGTTTAATTTGTATAATGAGTTGTGGTTGTGTTGTTGTTAGGTGAATTTCGTATAATTATTAATCTTTTCATTTATATTTACGTGATAATACCACAAATATTGTTTCTTTCAGGGTAAGTTAACCTGGTCATCTAGCTTGTATTCTGTACTTGGCGCGCTGAGGCAGTGACTAGCATGATACGTAGGCATCAAAGCTATTTCAAAATGAGATAGCATTGATAGTGCGATAGATTGTAGACTGGGATCATAAATATAAAATAATGTAAGGGTTGAGTCACACATGAAGTTCTGCATGTGTCACTACGGAGCGAGGGGTCTCGTTTGAAGGTTTCATTCCTGCAAAGACGTCAGTCTTACAGAATAGCCTCGCTGGTTCTGACAGAATATGAACTTCTTGCTATAACATTTCGTTACTTGTGCACCATGTATACGTTACACAAGTAGCGAAATTTAGATTAATATTTGCTCTTGATCCTGCCCTATTATGGTATTATTTATATTAGTTTTATTTATATACCATTGTCCATTGCTAGACTGGTTGTATCAGTTCCGCTTGGCAATAAGATTGGATTATTGCATTTAATTTATTGTGGAGATATAATGTTCTTTGTTATTGGACTTATCAGTTTTTATTTCAGTACCTGCTTAGGAAGGCTTATGGAACTGATAGGATGAAATCAGTCACTTGTGTAGTTGTATGTTTGTGTTGATAAATGTCCGTAGTAAGTAATACGTAGAATTATGTGATTTTACATGGCGGTGATGATGAACGTTATCATTATACCGTTTGCTTAAGGTGTAGGTACTGTAGGTAAAGGTTCACTTTACGCAAGTGGTATCTAGTAACTGAACTTAAATGAGAATTCATGTGATGATCCTTAAATTGAATCCGTTGTTTTTTCAGTCTGTAATACAATTTAGTTTGGCAACACGCTCTCCACTTGTTTCTTTATGGAATTAACCGACAAACGAGCAGACGGATTACCTGATTGATGGTAAGCAATCGGCGCCGCTCACGGACACCCGCAACACTAGATGTGTTGCAAATGCGTTACCGACCTTTTGTGGATTAGGAGGATTGTTTGAGGAATCCAAAAGGAGGGGGGCAATTAGGCCTCTGGTAACCTCCGGTAACACGAAACACAACGCAAGTTTAGTGTTGTTTCACGTCGGTCTTCTGAGAGGCCGACTTGTTATAAATAGCGTAGATATTGTTTAGTTGTTAGACTTATGTACAAGTTTACCATAATAACTGCCGTTCAGTGACTGGTCGGCCGCGGTCGGTGTGACAACCCTAAATTAAGCGCGAAACTAATGGAGCGTTTGTATGGATTCCCGCATAAGGTTGTGTTTACATAAACAAGCCTTAGAATTGGATGTGCACGGATTTCTAACAATTATATCTTAATATCTAATTGTTATGAAACAGGTTCATTAATGTTTTGTTTTTCATTAAAACTGTATGAGTGATTACGAGATTTAATTAGTTTTTAAGGTAATTACATGATTAGGCAACCTTATGCCGAATCTATTTTTATAAGTACCATTTTCTTAAGCACTAAATTTAAAACTGTCAAATTATAAAATAATTATTACAAAACATTATTGATATTGTGTTATCTAGGTTTAATGACGGTGCGAAGTCCGAAAGGCACTAAGTTATTGTTTTTGTTTTTGGTAGTACAATACCTACTGATTACTAAGCAACTGATGAAAAATTGGATGCACCAGCTAGGGATACATTTGCTCATAATAATATCGAGAAAAACTTAGTCTTAAGTAGAATCTAAATAAAGATCACAATTGATCGATGTTTGAGTTTTCCGAAGTTTTAAGAAGGTCATTCTCAGATTTGTTTACTTATCGCTTATCTTATGATAATCGAAACAATACTCTAACAGTATCAGTACAAGGTCGCTTATTGTGTTGCATTAGTATTGTGTTAATGATGATTCAGCTTGCATCATTCAATGAGCTTTTTATTTCCTCTTCTGGGACCCACGAACTGCATCAAGGTAATATTATGAACTCTGTGTAATTTATGTACTTAAGTTTATTTCTAAATACGAATCAAAGATTCAACTACCTCGTTAGCCGAGTGATCGCTAGTGCGACTGCCGGACAGGGGATCCCTGGTTCGATTCCCGGCTCGGGCAAAGTATTACTAGGTTTTTTTAAATTCTCAGTAGTAGCATGGAGTATAGAATTGTGCCCGGTATGTGGCAATAGGCTCACCCCCTATTACATGGGACTTATAACATGAATAGTGAAAAGTGGGTGTTACATTGGACAGTGGCATTAAGTGCCGTAGGCAATGCGCACCTCTGCCTACTCCTTCGAGGATAGAAGGCGTGAAAGATAAGCAGACATCTAGTCTGCAACATTTCTTTTAGTAAGAAATATAACCCACCTTATTTAAAATGGCCGTTGCTAGTAAGTCTTCATAGGTAGAAGACTCAATAGATGGCGTGTGAGGTTCAGCAGCATATCTGGCCAGAGCTGGCAGAGCTGCCGCCTCCTCCACGACCCTGGCTACCAACCGCTTCAGCTGCACGTGCGCTCCGCTCGCGCTGTGCCCAGAGGGCGCTGGCGACGCATTGCGGGGTGCAGGGAGATCTGGTGAACAAGAATTGTTATGTTAATTAATTAATTTAGAAGATTTAAAGAAATTACGTATTTCTGGGTCCTAATAAATAGTAAGTGTACTTTTGGGGAAACATTGAGGGGGTTTATTTTTTTAATATATCCAAGTGAAGGTTATCAGCGTGGTGCAAGGAATAGCAATCATCAAACAGTGCATGTGACTTATGTTATTCATAAAAATAGACCAAGAAAGTGTTTCAGATGCTCATCTTCATAATGTCTCTGTAATTGTAGATCAAAGGTTTATTTGGCCTGAACAGTACGAAACAACCTACGATATTTAAGGTTTTGTTAATGTATCTGTTTACATTTAATTTTGAGGCTACAAAGAAATTGTCCAATGTCCATTTAATTGTTTTAATATCAAAGATATCTATCTATCAATAGGTAGGTGTATAAATAGATAGGGTACAGGTATAGTAACGTTAGGTATTTAGTACTTATCTCAGTGCTAAAATAAGTTCACCCGGATTTGATAGAGTATCATAAAACAGAAGTACTAATTATAGATTGCTAATTATTTATCTTACTGCAATATCTAAAGTAGGAAACTGGACGACGGTTTGGCTTTTTTTTACAGGTATTTAATTATATAACTTAGGGCTGGATTATGTCTATACCTATTAGTCTGCACTTGACTGCGGTTTCAATGTCATACTAATAAATAAATTTTAACTGTCGACACTTTACAACCAACGATGCACATAATTTAACGATGATAAAAGAATATATAATGAAAATAGTTCCAATACTACATGTATAGTAAGAAATTATTATGGTTGCAGGATTCGAGCAAGTCGCGAATTTACAACCGAATGTTTAATTATAAGAATCGAGACTTTTCGAGTTCGTGGTGCCCATGGTAGGCAAAACATTAATAACAATATTCATGAACTCGCCAATTTTTATAATTTAGTTGCCATTTTAGATAAAAAAGTCAATTAACGCGGAACTCAACACTTGAAATTACTCACGAAAATAATAATTATTTTAATAATTCATAATTACTTTGTTAATGTATTAACTGGTTTCACGATCTTGTAATCATTTTAATATTAGGTACCTAAGATTTTTTTCCTGTGAAACTGAGATCATCCGACTTTTTTTTTTTTAGAGTAAAAACAATAGTTTTAGGTAAGTATTATTTTCTTGAATATCATCTTTTACAGCTTCCTGTGTTAAGTATTTTGGACGAAGTATTTCTAATTAATATTCTACTATAAAGTTGCTTTAATTTGGTAATGGTGAAGTCTTATTAAATAAATTCTAGATTATTATAACACGTTTACACGTACGTTTCATAAAATGTTGATTTATCTGTCTACTTTAGTAGACAGTCCTATGTTTCCTTTACCGATAAGTTAGTGATGTGTACACAAGCATGCATCATTTCCACCATACTTTGTGATTAGGCTCACAAATCACAGGTGCGTACTTGGTGAATCACATAAAAATAAATATGAAATATGACTCGCGCCACATACCAAGCGGGCCGCGAAAATATTCCAAACTTAGTATTTTATTACTACTTACTTAGTTAATTACAATTGTTCACTTAAGTTAAATGTGGCTGAACTAAAATATTCATACAATGACGCAAATTATTTTGAATTGAATTTTATCTGAATGGTAGTCACTCGTGCAAATATTTGGTTTCTTTGACCGCTGAACAATTCGAGGTTGTTACTGTTAATTATAAATTCACTTTGTTTTGTGTGATAAATTAGTAGAGGTTATCGTTTTGGAGATTCTAGGTGTGTTGCTCTCTATATTTTATTAAAAAAAAAATAATGTTATCCTACTGTTTAATCTGACAATCAATCGGTGAAAATAGGATATCTTTACAAATTAAAATTATGACCGATATTTCTACATTATAGGATAACGTCTTGATAATCTTGATATAATAGCTTTCTGAAAGGGATTTTTGTACTCGGATTTTTTTTTTAAACGCCCCACACTAGGATTTTCTCCTGTGTCGTGGGTGCGTTTACAAACATACAAGTTCACATACACAATATGACACCCAGACCCGAAACAACAATTTGTGGATCACACAAAGTGTTGTTCCGTGCGGGAATCGAACCCGCGACACGTTGCACGGCAGCCGGTTGCCCAGCCACCGCACCAACCGTGCAGTCAATAATTGAATAATTGAAATTGAAGGAATAATTGAATACGGCCCTGTATTAGCGCAACATCCGCTAAGTGTGTGGATTTGCACTCGCAGTGACAAGGCATGTGAAGTCGCCGACCAAACAGTACCTACTATGCAATACGTATGTACTTCATGTATGTACGTAACGACTAGGCATAGGCGTCAACTCCTGCGCAACATCGGTTTGTCCGATTTACTACAAAACTCTACTAAAAAGCTCTGATTCTATAATGTATAAAGCCTATTACTGTGCTTGTTTTAGCGTAAGAAAATTATTTTGTTTCTTTTTTTCTATTCGGTATTGATTCGGAATTACTGGAAGTCACTAGGGCTATGAAAGGGACCAGGGAATGCCTAAGCCTGATCAGCGGCGGACGTGGCTCTTGTAGCTGATTTACTGATAGGTAAGTACCTACGTATAATTATATTTTGCAGTTTCTAACAAGGAAAAGGTGCGCTCACTACCGAGGCACTTCAAGTTTCTTTACAATTTACAAATACAACTTCGAGCCAGAAATAAACTGTCGTACAATGCTACTCATGATTCTTATCAGTTGTCATTGATGTACAGATAAAATTAACTACATACTGTATAGGCTTTTAATACCATGTATGATAGTTATCTAACACAAATTGTATACGTACTTACAATATACGCTATTGTTGGCGCGTGCTACAAAGTGTTCAGTACAAATGAGTAGCTTAATTTAAAACAAATGAAGATTGATAAGATGGTTGTATGAATATAGAAAGAGCTGCCTGTTCAAGTAAATAAACACTCTAACATAGTTATGATAAGGGATAAGGCAAATAAATCGACGGTTCTTCCGTCGGTGAGTGATGAGCGCCGTCCATGGACACTCGCAATACCCAGAGAGGAGTTGCGAATGCGTTGCCGACACTTCTATCTATTAAATGTCAGGGCCATTCTGATATATCTTTTTATCCAAATTAAAATGAAATGGCAACTGATTAAAAGCCCCGACACACATTACACTTCAACCTGCCACTCCATCGACACGTGTTGCCGCAATTATCATTAAGAACAGCGCAAAGTTCATACAAGCCGTCAGAGGTCAGCACCCGCCCTCGACATGAGCTATAAAAGTGCCAGACAATAGTCGCAAGATGGCGGATTTAATGATAAAATAAGGTAATTAGTGTTAGGGTCAACAAGATCTTAAGCATGGAGTACTATAAGTACCTAAGAAGAAGAAGGTCCTTACAGGACCACCATTGTATATGGGTGTATTATTTTTATAAGTATTGTCTATCAAACTACTGTAACAAGAGCGTATTAATTGTCCTCCATAAAGTACTAAATGGGCGTGCGTTAAAAAATACAAAGATGTTTATTTACTCTCACTTTTTCATATAGGTACTGAGACAATAACTCCTCTATATACTCCGTGATTTCAAGATAATGCAGGTGGCAGATGGTTCAGCACAAAAACATCGTAATTACGTGTAATAATGCACATAACTCGAGTTTTTAATGGCTGGTTGTGTTAACAACAATGTGAAGTGATGAAATTATTTAGAAATTACGAACTGAGGTTTGAAATTAAGTAGTAGTTGGAGAGACGTGTACAATATAATAGAGAATCGAAACACTAAAGGTTAAGTGCGACATTGCGAACATGTACCTACATGCTTATAATTCTTTTGAACGACTACTTAGGCTATGTATATCGTTTTCAGAATTAATATATGGACAACAAATACAGACGTAATTATTGAATTGTGATAAAAGATTGATTAAATAAATAAATAATAACTTCGTCCGTTAGCAGGCTCCCCTTTTATCAATAATCAAAAACATTTCCGTCTTCACTGTTCGCCAAGTTATTTACATAGGTATGTTTACGTATCGATATTACGAAGTGAAATAATAATTAAGTTGTGGCCTTCCAGTCCACGAGAGGTCGACTAGGAGTTACCAATTTGGTATGATCCGAGGAGAACACGCTGGCAATGAGTGAAATAAATGACATTAATTAATAATAATCGATGTGCTAAATTACATGACGATAAATTCTGGAAGAACATGTTACGAGCATTGTAAGTAGACTAGAATTTATCTTGTAGTTCGAGTAGTTAATAATCATGATTGGGTCTGTGGAGTAGGAAAGAGTTCTGGGGTTGGATTCATGAATCGGATAAGACTAGGATGTTTGAAGTTTCAGAAGTCCTTCAAATAAATAACAATTTGAAGGGTATTGCTACAGTCGGGTAAAAAGGAAGAAGTAGTAATTATCTGGGACCATAAACAAGAAAAAAACTTTCCGCGGGCCCAAGGTAACGATTAACGTATGTATGTGGAGTTGTGGTCAATGACACAAAATAATTCTTTGATTTATTCGAGAAAATCTAGGTTTAGCTCGAAAGCTGCTGCTAGCTTGACATGTAGCAATAACACCTAAGTTCGCTAGAATGACTAAACTTGGCTAGAATAAATCTGTGATTGATGTGGCTCGTAAAACTCAAAGTAGACGAGGTAAGTCTGTTTGTCATTACGTGTCATTTATGTTGGACAAGGACCGTCGTAAAGGCGAGTTTTGATGGGACACTTACATCAATGTATTTTGCTAATATGTGAACAAACTGAACAACTTAATGTATGGTTTACCCTCACCGTAAGTTTTCTGATATGATACATAAAATGCGACGTCATCATCTGAACAATATTTTTCGGCAACATAGGAAGTGGCCGGCAACTTTGCACATAATTATCATGCATATTTGTACCCTGTTCATTTTATGAAACTTTTAGTTGGCAACGGTATCTACAATTTCAGAAAAATATGGCACTTTT